TTTTGGCATGAAGATTATTCTGAATTAAAAAAGCAACTAAAACCCAGCAGATTCAGGAAGAGCCCTTCAATCCCCTCCTCAACTGCCTAGAAAGAATTTAGAAGGTTGATCTGCTCTAGGAAGACAGTTATCACCATAACTCTGTTATTGTATAAAGTAGGTATGATTGATAGGAAGGAACCTAGCAAAGCCTTCCCTTTATTTCTTCAGACCGGCCTAAGGTGTGCCGTAGTTTACTTATCCTGAATTGCAATTTCTCTTCTCTTTCTTTATAAACTCACTTTGCTGGCAAAATAACCAGCCATTTTATTTTTGGGGTCGACAAGACAGCCCCAGTAGATCAAAAAACTGGACTTACTTTATTATTTCTGAAATAAGATTTACTAAGGATTATTCAAAGGCTGTAGTGTCCTAAAAATCATTTTATTTCAAATTAATTTTTTACTTCTAGAAAGTTGCAAAACTAGTAAAAAGTGTTCTCTTAAATTACTTGCCCCATTATGTTTAATGCAAACATTTTGTATAACCATAGGACAACTATCAAGAACAGGAAATTAGCACTAGTATGATATTATTAGTTAAACTACAGACCTTATTTGAGTTATCAAAAATATCTGGCAGGTAGGTACTAATAATTTCTTTCACTACTTTCAGAACATGTAAAAAACCCACTAGTCTTGTCCTTTCAGGATTAAAACCCTTCACAATTTTAAAGGAAATACAGTAGCATTGTTAGTTCCTGGGTTTGTTGTTGTTAAAACTCATTTGAATACTCTTAGAACAATGTTTTTCACACTTTGGTGTCTATAAACTTACTAGGGATATTTGTCAACAATTTGTCTTGGGCCCCATCCTTAAATCCATGTACAGTTGGGATGGGGGAGCCTAGGAATCTGCATTTTAAACAATCATTTGCTGGTGGATCACTCTTTGATGAACATGAGCTTATAGGCAGATTAGCAGAAATCAATGTGGTATATTGGAGGGGTTTTGAAAGATCAACTTGATTTTTTTTTCCTTTTAAGAATGACTCACTAGGGGCACCTGGATGGCTCAGTTGGTTTTGCTTCTGCGTTCTGCTCAGAATTGAGCCCTGCGTCAGGCTCCCTGCGCAGTGGAGAGTCTGCTTCTCTCTCTTTCTCTCTTTCCCTATGCCCTGCCTCCCTGCTCATTTTCAATCTCTCTCAAATAAATAAAATCTTAAAAAAAAGAATGACTCACTAATACATTTTAAAAGAAGTTTTAGTATCAATTCTTATATTTTACTATTAAAACATGCATGCATTACCTGGTGGAACACATAGGTTACCTATTTTTTTTCCTGATATAAGTTGTTCTATGAGGTAGCTACACGATGCAAGAGAGAATGGGAACATGATATAGGGTAGAACCCCAGTAGCCACAAACCCTATAGGGTGTCTCTAAGGCATTAAAGTGTCTCTAAGGCATTAAAATCAGTCCTACTGGCATCTCAGCCACTAGAGGTAGGGAAGCAAATAGCTCACACTCAAAAGAAGTTAGTACAGCACCAAAATGTTCATACCTTCCCATTTTTTCCCCTCAATTTTCTACAGTCTATTATGCAAACACACATCAATTGTTGATCCTAAACTCCTCTGGTGTACAGATTCTACATTTACCACCACTCTTGCCACATTGTCCTCCTATCTACCTACTGTCTACTTAGAAACTTTGTAGGGCCAATCAATCATATATTCTAATACAATAAGGCATTACATTAATAATTGGGCTATTATCTTAATAATATCTTTTTACATAAGCTTATAGAGTTTAATAATTTATTTTTGTGATGTTCAAGAAATTCAGATAACATTTTCAAGGAAACAACTTGTAGCAGAAAGCACGCACAGCAGTGATGATTTTATCAACACTAAAATATTTCTCTTATTAGTTCTAGCACTTCTTGTGGTGTAAATGAATAGATAATACTGATATCAGTTTTCTTCCTGTAAAGGGAAGCAGACTGATAAGAGCACAGAAGCTATTTTATAGTAGATGCTAAAAGACCACATCACACCCATAAATGCAGATAACTCTTCTCTTACTATTTTTGTAATAATGAACTAAACCAAAAATCTCCAGAATTTATGGTAAGAAATATTATATTATAATATATATTATTTACTGAAATCTCATATTTCCAGCAGTATCTATATATGGTGAAACTTATGTCTGAAGGGAGCATATAGAGTAAAATTGCTGCCTATAAGTTGGGAAGAGAAGACAGTATTGTCAGAAAATGGAGAGAAGGGTAGTCTTCATCATTTACTAATGATGTTAGGGACTGACAGTAAGAAGTAGATTCTAGAATTCTCTTGGATTTTCTTTGGAATTGGAAAGTTCTCTTTGTCAGATGATTCATCGTAACTCTCTGGTAATTGGGGTGACCATCTGTATTAGCTAATTGGTTTTATCCAGAGAAAAATAAAACTTTTCATACCTTTGTGACAGGACATTGCAAATATGAGCAAGGTACCGCTGAAGTTAGGCTCCTACCTTCCCACAGAAACTGGAGATAGGGGTGTCATCTCTTGAAATATTTCCATCTCAAAGATAAGACTTCAGGTCTTTGAGAAAGATATTCCTGGATCATAAAGCTGACATAAAGGTCTATCTAGGTTTTTAAAAAATGTAACTTAGGTGTAGAAATGAAACAGCAACTGCTATAATTTGAAAAATAAAACAGGGGCACCTGGGTAGCTCAGTGGATTCGGTGTCTGCCTTTGGCTCAGGTCATGATCCCAGGGTTAGGATTGAGTCCCATGTCAGGCTCCCTACTCAGCAGAGAGTCTGCCTCTCCCTTTCCCTCTGCTGCTCATTCTCTCTCACTCTTTCTGTGTTAAGTAAATAAATAAAATCTTAAAAAAATAAAAATAAAACAATTGGCACAGTATCTTTAAGCCTTTGTTGTTATCATCTCTTTCCTGAACAAAGATAATTTTATTTTCTTTGAGTAAATGAAGATTGTGTGGCTACTTTTTAAACCATCTAATTTTTTTTTAACATCTAATGCATAAGCCAAACTTGGTACAATGGACCTTCAATGAGGATCAATGGGACATCTATGTGATATTTGCTTTGTAAGTGCCAAGAAAATGTGGTAAGCAAGAATTAAAATAAGTCTTAAAAATAATGCTTTGTTGTGTTGTTTTTTTTTAGAATTGCTTCATCTGTTTTTCATTGTTATTAAAAATAATACTTTAAAAATAACTTGTTAATCAGTGATCAATAAGGAAATTGCTAATATCCAACATGAAAATTTCAGCTTTAGCAATTTGATTTTTACATCTGCTGAAAACATTACTTAGATTTGCTATAATTTATTTAACCACTCGTATATTGATAGACACTTTAGCTATTTCTGATTTCCCCTAATTAATAGAATGCTGCAGGGAACATATTTGTATTTGTTAGGTAATTAATAAAATAAATAAAAAATCCTTAAAAAAAACAAAACTAGATATTCTCTCTCATAAGTTCCCGGAAAATAGATTCTATGTCAGAGATTTCTTGTATGCGTTTATTGAATAGAGTTCACTGAAATAACACTGCTAAGACAGTGAGGTAAGCAGTATTGGCAAGAGGAGAAGTTTCCATAAGGCTTTTAATCAATGTCAGACAGTGCTTTGAAGCTGACATATCTCCTTAGACATACACTGGCCTCTCTGACATGTACTAAATTGAAGAAAAGTCTCTAGGGCTTTGAAACCAACTCCTCCCTCACTCACTGGCCAATTGTGATAGTACTCTTGGGCTGCTATAACAGAATATCATAGACTGGGTAGCTTGTAAGCAACAGATATTTATTTTTCACAGCTCTGGAGACTAGGAAGCCCAAGATCAAGGTGCTAGGAGATTTGGTACCTGGTGGGAACTTGCTTCTTCGTTCTTAGGCTGCCATCTTCTCATTATGTCATTACATGGTAGGAGGGCCAAGGGAGGTCTTCAGGGTCTCTCTTATGAAAAAGGCATTAATCTAATTTATAAAGGCTCTGCCCTCATGACCAAATAACCTATCAGGACTTCTACAAGTACATCCTTTCTTGCTGCCCTCCATACAATGGCCCCTCCCTAGGCAAAGTGATCTCCCTAAAACAAAAATTGACTAGATTATCCCCCTGCTTAAAATATCCAAATAGCTGTACATTGGTTTTAGGATGAAGATATCCTAACATGGCTTACCAGGCCTAATAGGAGCTGGTCCCTATCTCTCAGCTTTATCTCAGGCCATTGTCCCTTATTCTTAATGCTGAAAGCCACATTTGCCTTTCTTCACATACTCTTGGGCAGTATCCACTCTCTTCTTTTCCCAGTTTCTTATGGCTGCCACACACCTTGGCTTGTGGTCACATCACTCCAGTCTCTGTCTCCATCTTTATACCTTTCTCCTCTTATGTGTCCAATTTCCCTCTGCTTCTCTCTTATAAGGACACATACAGTTAGATTTACAGACCACCTAAATTATTAAGGATGATCTCTCCATGTTAAGATTTTTAACTTATATCTGCAAAGACTCTTTTTCCTTATAAGGTAACATTTCCAGGTTCCAGGGATTAGGACCTGATATCCGTTGGTAGCCTATTCAGCCTACTACAGCTTCCATATAAATCCACAAGACATCGCATGTAGAGTTATGGTAGCATACAACTTGATTTCAGGGAGCAGAGAGGGATAATGATTTGGAATTGGCAATGATGGGCGAAGAAATATCCTCTTCACTTATATGGACAACAGTAAAAAGGACTGGGGAGCAACCACTTTAAATGGAGGTGAAGAAATCTTTATACTGGAAGAAAATCAGGTTCCAGCTAGAGCAAGAAGATGATGTTTGGAGAAGAGATTGAGGACATGAAGATTTTGCAGAAATCACACTGTGACTTCCAAAGCACACCCCAGCAGTCTTTAGAGAGTTGGAGAAAGGAATAAGAAGGACTCAGAGAATGGGACAAGCCTGAACTGGGAGTTTAGAGATTCCTGAGATGAGTGATGTGAACAGTGATAAAGGGCAAGGGGAAATTAAACCTGATGGCCTTCAAGGTAATTTGTGGTGAAAGGGGTGTAAGAATTGGCTTACAGAGAAAGAAGGTGGGAGGCTCTCCAAGCATATAAGAATCAAATGAGAAAAAAATATCCAGAAAAACTGAGTTGAATCCTTATCAAAATCGTGTAGGAAAAATATTTTCTTTTATAATTGTTATTAGTTACTATACTGTATGAAATTATTAGTTTTGTTTTAATGTTTTAATTAGCAACAGTGCCTCCAGAAAAGTAATCTTGTATTTAAAAATAAATATGAGGACAGTACTAAATAAACTGCACTCAGTATGCCATTTAAAAATGGATGTTTTTCCAAAGAGAAATATGTAGGCAGGACTCCAGATGGAAATCAAAGTTTACGCCAGGAACTAAAATCTACCTCTGCAAAAGGAGTAATTCTGAAAGCATAATTAGGAGATCTATGTTAAAATATATATATATAAAGGAAGAGAACTCAATTGCCATTTGTGAAAGCACTCTTCAAAAAAAACAACACAAAACAAAACTTGTGAAGTAGTATAAAATATTGGTAGTTTCAGAAAGCTGAAAACATATTGCAAACCATAATAAAGGGTATAGAATCTATAATTTGAGTAGTTTTTTTCTAAAGTACTTGCTAAGTATTCACTACTAAGGAGAAATTTGTGTTTAATTGAATCAACAAAATCAAATTTATCACATAAGTATATTTACCACTATAAAGATTTGAGACTAAATGTTTGACTGGTGATAGTGTATTTAAAATTTTATGTTTTGTTAATAAGTTTATTATTATAAAACATATAGGTCAATATGTTTTGAAATAATGAATACTCATTTTCTTTTTATGAAAATTCCACTTGAAAAGTGCATTGGAATATGTTATCTCTTGGACATGTCAGTTTTCTTGGAAAAAGTCATTTAATTATAATAACAATATTTACATGTGTTAAAACAAATTTGGTTTCTTTTTCTTTTTTAAAAAACAGATTTTATTTATTTATTCATGAGAGACACACACAGAGAGACAGGCAGAGACATAGGCAGAAGCAGGGAACCCGATGTGGGACTCGATTCTGGATCCCAGGATCATGCCCGGGGCCAAAGGCAGACATTCAACTGCTGAGCCACCCAGGCGTCGCACATATTTGATTTCTTTTATCACATGTTATCTCTTTAGGTGCAGATGAATTCTTTTTTCTGTCTTTTATATCTATCTCCAAAGTACCTAATAAGGTGCTGTGCAGTGTGGTAAATTTTCAGTACTTATTGTTGCCAGGGTCTTTATTTTGCTTTCATACAGACAGAATTCCTTTTTAAATAACTTACATATTTTTATTTTTCCAGAAACTTGCTATGGAGTATAACACATATAGAAAAGAATACAGAAGACAAATGTATAGATCAACGAACTGTCTGTCACAAAGCAACACTCATGTAATTACCACCTAATCAAGAAATAGTGCACTGCCAGAAGCAACATCCCACCTCCCCTCTAAAAAAAATTTCCCCCAAGCAATGTGCCTTTTTCCTCTAAAAAGCAAACACTATCCTGGACTTCTAACGTTATATTTAAATCTAAGTGTTTGAATATTGCAGAAATGGATAGTACATATTATTTTGTGTCTGATTCTTTCATTTGTGAGAGTCATCTATGTTTCTGCATGTTTTGAAGTTTTTTTACTTGAAGTGCTGTAGAACATTTTACTCTATGAAAATACCGCAAAGTTTGTCGTCATTCTATTGTTGGTGGACAATTGGGTTTACACCTTGGAGCTAAGGTGAATGGTGCTGCTGGGAATGTTCTTATATGTAGTTCTGGTGCACATATGTATGCCATTTGTGGTGGGTTTAGAATAGTAGTGAAATTGCTGGCTTATAAGGCTTGTACAAATTCTGTTTTATAGAAACTGCCAAGCTGATTCCCAAAGTGGCTGCACCAATTTACACTCCCACCGGCTCCTCTACACCATCAACCCTTGGTATTATTAGTTTTTTTTAGTTTAAGCCCAAATGATGAGTATATAGTAGTTTTTTAATTTCCATTTCCTTGTTGAGTAACAGAGTTGAACATCTTTTTATATGATTATGGACATTTATACATCTTATTTTTTTCTAAAGTGTCGATTAAAGTTTTTTTTTTCTATTGAGAAGTCTGCCTTTTAAAAATTAACTTACAGGAGAGCTTTATCTACTCTGCATATAATTTTTTTTTGTCAGAAAAATATATTGGAAAGGTAGTTTCCATTCTGTGGCTTGCATTTCAGATTCTTAGTGGGTCTTTTGATAAATAGAGGAGTTCTAAATGTAGTCTAATTTATCAATTTTATCTTTTATGGTTAATACTTTTTGTGTGAAGACTTTGCTTTCTTCAAGATCATAAAGATCTTTTCCTAAATTGTCTTTTAAAGATTATTATTTTACCCTTTACGTTAAGATTTATGATCTCCCTAAAGTAGGAATATATTTTTTCCCCTATAAAGATATCCAATTTTAGGCATAGAGCATATATTTACACTTAGGATGTTGGCTTTCCCATAGTAGACCCTGGATGCCATTTTGGACTCTGTTTCCTTTATACTCTCAGATATCCTTTTCAGCTTCTAAGACTCCCAGCATCCTTTTTCACAAATAGCATCTCCAAATAATAGGCTAACTTCTTTATGTTTATCTTTACCTAGATCTTGGCCCTGAAATTCTTCATTGTCTTGTTAGCTCTACGATCTCTTCAAAAGAATTTTAACATATATTTTATTCATCTTTCTTACTATAATTATCAGAAGTGTTGGTCTAAATTGCTTGTCCATCATTATTGGAAATTCTAGTGACATTTATTTAAAAATATAGTCTTGATTTTACTCTCATTATATATGTGATCTTTTTTTTTTTTTTTTGTAGAAAAAAATAATTTTTAATGTTTTTAGAAAAGCAATTTTTTTTTAATAAATTAATTTTTATTGGTGTTCAATTTACCAACATACAGAATAACACCCAGTGCTCATCCCGTCAAGTGTACCCCCCAGTGCCCGTCACCCATTCACCCCCACCCCCCACCCTCCTCCCCCTCCACCACCCCTAGTTCATTTCCCAGAGTTAGAAGTCTTTATGTTCTGTCTCCCTTTCTGATATTTCTCACACATTTCTTCTCCCTTCCCTTATATTCCCTTTCGCTATTATTCATATTCCCCAAATGAATGAGAACATACACTGTTTGTCCTTCTCCGGTTACTGTGGCCAAGTTCAAAAAGGGTGTTGCCTGAGTTCTTCTCTGGGATTTTGATGGAATCTTGTCTCACATTTAGATCTTTCATCCATTTTGAGTTTATCTTTGTGTATGGTGCATGAGAGTGGTCCAGTTTCATTCTTCTGCATGTGGATGTCCAATTTTCCCAGCACCATTTATTGAAGAGACTGTCTTTCTTCTAGTGGATCGTCTTTCCTCCTTTATTGTATATTAGTTGAGCATAAAGTTCAGGGTCCACTTCTGGGTTCTCTGTTCTGTTCCATTGATCTATATGTCTGTTTTTGTGCCAGTACCACACTGTCTTGATGAACACAGCTTTGTAGTACAACCTGAAATCTGGCATTGTGATGCCCCCAGATATGGTTTTCTTTTTTTAAAATTCCCCTGGCTGTTTGGGGTCTTTTCTGATTCCACACAAATCTTAAAATAATTTGTTCTAAGTCTCTGAAGAAAGTCCATGGTATTTTGATAGGGATTGCATTATACGTGTAAATTGCCCTGGGTAACATTGACATTTTCACAATATTAATTCTGCCAATCCATGAGCATGGAATATTTTTCCATCTCTTTGTGTCTTCCTCAATTTCTTTCAGAAGTGTTCTGTAGTTTTTAGGGTATATTTTGAGAACCATTTGAATGGTAAATGGTTCTCCAACCTTTTATTTTCAGGTTGTAGGTGTCCTTCTGTCTAAAATGAGTCTCTTGTAGACAGCAAATAGATGGGTCCTGTTTTTTTATCCAGTCTGAAACTCTGCGCCTTTTGATGGGGTCATTAAGCCCATTCACGTTCAGAGTTACTTGAACTTCTTCTTAAAGGGGAGTTTTAAGAGTCCCCCTTAAAATTTCTTGCAGAGCTGGTTTGGAGGTCACATATTCTTTCAGTTCCTGCCTGTCTTGGAAGCTCTTTATCTCTCCTTCCATTTTGAATGAGAGCCTTGCTGGATAAAGTATTCTTGGTTGCATGTTCTTCTCATTTAGGACCCTGAATATATCCTGCCAGCCCTTTCTGGCCTGCCACGTCTCTGTGGAGAGGTCTGCTGTTACCCTAATATTCCTCCCCATGAAAGTCAGGGACTTCTTGTCTCTTGCTGCTTTAAGGATCTTCTCTTTATCTTTGGAATTTGCAAGCTTCACTATTAGATGTCGAGGTGTTGAACGGTTTTTATTGATTTTAGGGGGGGATCTCTCTATTTCCTGGATCTGAATGCCTGTTTCCCTTCCCAGATTGGGAAAGTTTTCAGCTAGGATTTGTTCAAATACATATTCTGGCCCTCTGTCCCTTTCGGCGCCCTCGGGAACCCCAATTAAACGTAGGTTTTTCTTCCTCAGGCTGTCGTTTATTTGCCTTAATCTGTCTTCATGGTCCTTCAATTGTTTATCTCTTTTTTCCTCAGTTTCCCTCTTTGCCATTAACTTGTCTTCTATGTCACTCACTCGTTCTTCCACCTCGTTAACCCTCGTCGTTAGGACTTCTAGTTTGGATTGCATCTCATTCAATTGGTTTTTAATTTCTGCCTGATTGGATCTAAATTCTGCAGTCATGAAGTCTCGTGAGTCCTTAATGCTTTTTTCTAGAGCCACCAGTAGCTGTAGAATAGTGCTTCTGAATTGGCTTTCTGACATTGAAGTGTAATCCAGATTTTGTAACTCTGTGGGAGAGAGGGCTGTTTCTGATTCTTTCTTTTGAGTTGAGGTTTTCCTTCTAGTCATTTTGCTCAGTGCAGAGTGGCCAAAAACAAGTTGTATTGGAACACGGGGGAGTATCACTGGCCCCTCTAGCTGGTCTTCTGGGGGAGGGGCCTGTTGCGTTGATTTTCAGGTGTTAGCACTTGGGGGAGCTGCTCTGCCCCTGCCTGCTGCAGGGCTCTGCGGGGGTTGTTTACCCCGCCAGGCCCCAGGAGGAACAGCAGCAGTTGCTATGGCAACTCTGGAAGCCTGGAGTCAGCCTCCGCAGGAACTACGGGGCTCGGGGCTCTCGGCTCTCCGTCCGCAGGGCCTGGAGGCTCCGGGGCGGGGCCGCTGATCTGCTCAGCTCGGGGCAGGAGCGTCCTTGCTGTCCTGGGCCCTCCCGGCCTCTGCCTGTCCCGGGGGAGGCCGGATCCTGGGCTGTGTCCCGGCGCCCTGTGCTCCGGGGCCTGCGCTGTTGGATTCGCGCTCCCGCCCCGCAGCCCCCTCCCTGGAGCCGCTCCCGAGCCCCTCCGAGCTGCTCCGGTCGGTCCCTCCGTGCGCGCGCGCTGCAGCCCTTAGGGAGCTCGGAGCACTCCCCGGGGCGCAGGTGTCTGTTAGTGTCCCCGCGAGCCTGAGGGCATCCCCGCTCTCCTGGGTCCTGCTCCAACTCCCTGCGAGCCCCTTTCCGCCCGCCCGGGAAGGTTGGTGCAGCTCCTGCTCCTCCGGGACGGGGCTCTCCTGTCCTGGGGACACTCGCCCCGGCCTCAGCCCGGCTCCTCGCGGGGCCCCTCCCCCTCGGAGGCCTTTTGTTCCTTTATTTCTCTTTCCCCGTCTTCCTACCTTGATAGAAGCGTGAACTCTTCTCACTGTAGCATTCCAGCTGGTCTCTCTTTACATCTCAGGCCGAATTCGTAAATTTTCAGGATGGTTTGAAGGTTATCTAGGTAATTTGTTGGGGACAGGTGATTTGGGGACCCTGCTCTTCCGCCATCTTGCCCCTCCCCTATATGTGATCTTTGACAAGTAATTTAAACTCTTGAGGTTCAGTTTCCTCACTTGTAGAATGAGAGAGTACTTATAGAATTGTTGAAAGTTTTAATATGAAATGGTGTATATAAGAACTTTGGAAGTGATGCTATAGGCGTGCTGGTATACCTTCAATAAGTGGCAGCTACTATTTTTGTTATATGAGTGGTGATAAAAATAATTATTAGGATGATGATGAGAATAGCAGTACTTCTGCATAACTCTATCACATTGCCTTCCCTAATCTTCTAGTCTAAAGGGGATATAAGGTTAATCTGACAACATATAGGCTTCAAATAATGATTGCTTCTAATTTTTAGATTTTCCCAAGCCATAATTTCAATAACTTATTCTGAAGTTTTTTAACCTAAAATTGATACCAGACTCAGTGGTAAATGATTTTAAATGTCAACTTTTCTCATGTAAAAGATAAACTATACTATCTTTGTTCTTATATTTCTTTCATTTTATGATATATCAAAATTCCATGGTTACTAGTTATGATACTATCAGTTTCATCTGTACATACTCCTAGTAATTCGTCTTACATGAAGACTGAAACTAACTGAACAGTAGTTTTGTCTCATCTTTTTATTAATGTTGGACTTCAGTTCACTATATTGCAAGGGCCGGCAACGCAGTAAATTTCCCCTCAATTTTCCGCTATAGGAACAGATTATATAATCAAATCGTATTTTCAGCAACAAATATTACCAATGCACAAGAAGTGGTGTTTTACTCTGGAGGACTTACAGGAAGTAGGCAGACAAGTATTGGAATATTTGGTTTTGATATATATACATTGCTTATTGAATAACAGATCTGTTTACTAGGTTACACCAGTTTCCTTGAGAATATGAAGTTAGTTTCCTTGTTATGCATTTCATACACAGGGAATAGGATAGCTCCTACTCTAAGTTAAAGATGTTAAAATAACATCTTGGTCAGAAAATATGTTTCGTGAGTTTAATGAATATGAAATAATTCCCTACAGCTTGAGCATATGGACTTTATTGGTAAAACTGAGCTTCTAATTTTGCTGTATTTAAAAAAGGCTCTGTTGGTTCACCAGCTAGGCTAACCCAAAATATTACTGCAAATGCAAAAGGAAATAGTATTAAGAAGAACCAAATACGGGATCCCTGGGTGGCGCAGCGGTTTGGCGCCTGCCTTTGGCCCAGGGCACGATCCTGGAGACCCGGGATCGAATCCCACGTCGGGCTCCCAGTGCATGGAGCCTGCTTCTCCCTCTGCCTGTGTCTCTGCCTCTCTCTCTCTCTCTGTGTGTGTGTGACTACCATAAATAAAAAAAATTAAAAAAAAATAAAAAAAAAAGAAGAACCAAATACTATGTAGGCATAAACGAACAAAGAAAGAAAGGAGAAGAGGTGCTTGTATTCTGTTCCATGTTGTAAGAATCAGACAACCTGTAAGTGTTTATTGAGACTCTGGAATTGGGGCACCTGGGTGGCTCTGTCAGTTGAGCATATCAGACTCTTGATTTCAGCTCAAGTCATGATCTCAGAGTTGTAAGATCGAGCCCTGCATCAGGCTCCATGCTCGGTGTGGAGCCTGCTTAAGATTCTCTCTCTCCCTCTGCCCCCCTTCTCACACTCTCTCTCGCTCACTGTCTCTTAAAAAAAAACCTGGAATGTATGGAAAATTAGTATAAGGCATAAACCCTATACCTCAGGACTTTATAATCTACTTGGGGAAATATATATGGCACAAATAGAATAGAAATCAATAATTAGTTGTTATAAGGTATGTGAAATTTTATCACAAAAATAATAAAACTAATGTGGGCTGGAGTTTTTGTAGACGATTCACTAGAAGGTATTAAGATGGTTTTCAAGGATTTTAAAAATAAATGGATATAGATACAAATAAAAAGACAAAGCTTTGGGGGAAAATATACACCCAGGAAGAGGAAGTACCATCAGGGGGTGGATAATTCCAGTTACTGCAAGCATTTGTATAATTCTTATCCAAGCTGACATGGAGACTTCATGGTTGAATTGAAGCTAGGACATGTCTGTGGGAGTGTCCTTGGAACAAACGTATATTCTATAACTCATTCATTTAAAGAATGATGACTCAACAAGATCATAACTATAATATGACGTCTGTGCTTTTCCTTTAAAACTGACAGGACTTTTGTGATTATGGGGCTGAGAAGACAAAAATGGCACGAGTATTGAAATTTTAGGCTTTGTTGAAAATGGAAGAAAGGTTTATCCTGTTTCAACAGCAGCACTGTTCATCCATGGAGAGTTGGAGAACCACACCAGTCCACAGTTTTTATTTCTGATACTAGAAGCAAATCAAAAGGAAGAAGAGATACATATGAGATCATTGATGTCTAATAGAAACACTTTCAAATCTTTTTTGTTTTAAAAATACCTATTTGACAGTAAACTTTATATAACATTTGTATTTGTTACAGATGATATTTCTATTAGCTGTTTCAAGAGATCAATTCCTGGGCAGCCCGGTGGCTCAGCGATTTAGTGACGCCTTCCACCCAGGTTGTGATCCTGGGAGACCCAGATCAAGTCCCACGTTGGGGTCCCTGCATGGGGCCTGCTTCTCCCTCTGCCTGTGTCTCTGCCTCTCTCTCTCTCTCTATGTCTCTCTCTCTCTCTGTCTCTAATAAATAAATAAAATCTTAAAAAAAAAAGAAAAAGGGATAAATTCCTGGCTGTCAGTGAATTGGTAAAATGGAAAGTTTATTTCAAGTTCATGAAAAGTCCAAAATGTGGTATATTTGAAAAAGGTAGGTAGCAATTCTTATGGTAATGATTATGTCAGCTTTGGAAACAAGTTTTTTTCTTAAGAATTTGTTTACCTCATATAAATTTTAAAATTTATTTGCAATAACAGAGTTATTTCCTACCTTGTTTTATAATGCCAACATAATTTAACAAGGACATTAAAAGACAGGAAAATTGTGCCATCCTCTCTCAGAAAGATGGACGTAAAAGTCCTAAACAAAACAGCATATGAAACCCAGTGATAACATAAAAATGTATGTTAAATTGCAATCAAGTTGAGATTATTCCAGAAATACAAAGTTGGTTTAACACTGAAATATCAATTAATGTGACTTACAACATGGATCGAATAAGGTAGAAAAGAGGTATGGTTATCTTAATTATGTAAAAAAGCCTTTGATCAAATTCAAGTTCATTTATTATAAAATATATCAAACCAAAAACAGAAGATAACTTCCTTAATCTGATAAAGTGACAGCAAACATTCTTTTGAATGGTGAAACACTGAGAGCCTCTCCCTGAAATTGAGAGCAAAGGAATGATACCTGCTATCACCATTTTTTCAACAATGTACTAGAGTTCTGTGACACAAGGCTAAAACAATGAATCAGGCAACCAGTTGGCCAAAACAAAATAAAAAATAAGCAATGGAAAAGAAGTAATAATTCTATTCTTATTTGCAGAAGACTTGATGATGTAGGTGTATGGTAAATATTCAGAAGAATGTTCAGATTTTAAGAAATCAAATAAGTTTCCTGGAAAGAAGGTCAGTGTACAAAAACCAATTTTATTTCTATATGCCAGCAACAGATATGACATGAAATTTAAAGAATAATGCCATTTACAATAGGACAGAATAAATCAAATACAATTGACCTTAGAATAATTATAGGTTTGAACTGCACAGGTCCACTTACATATTTTTACAGCACTATAAATGTATTTTCTCTCCCTTCCAATTTTCTTAGTGATAATTTTCTTTTCTCTAGCTTACTTTATTGTAAGAACATAATGTATAATACATATAACATACAAAATATGTTTTAACTGTTTGTGTTGTTGGTAAGGCTTCCAGTCAACAGGAGGCTGTTAATAGTTAATTTTGTGGGGCTCAAGTTATATGTACATTTTCAACTGCATGGGGGGTGGGATGGTGTCAGCACCCATAAACCCTTTGTTGTTCAGGGTCAACTATATATGTACTCAATGCTATAAATTTCCTTCTATTCACTGCATCCCATAAATTTTGATAAGTTGTGTTTTGTTTTCATTTAGTTCCAGATGTTTTAAAATTTCTCTTGAGAGTTCTCTTGAATGACTGATGTTATTTAGTAGTATGTTATTTAATTTCCACATAACTTAGGATTTCCAGTTACCTCTCTGTTATTGCTATATCTAGTTTAATTTCTTTTTTTAAATTTTTTTTTAAATTTAGTTATGATAGTCACAGAGAGAGAGAGAGAGAGGCAGAGACGTAGGCAGAGGGAGAAGCAGGCTCCATGCACCGGGAGCCCGATGTGGGATTCGATTCCGGGTCTCCAGGATCGCGCCCTGGGCCAAAGGCAGGCGCCAAACCGCTGCGCCACCCAGGGATCCCTCTAGTTTAATTTCATAATGGTGTGAGAGCTGACATTGTATGATTTCTATTCAAGGTGTATTTTGTTGTCCATAATGTGCTCTCTCTTGATAAATATTCCATGTGATCTTGAGAAGAATATCTACTCTATTGTTGTTGGATGAAGTAGCCTATAGATTCAATTACATTCAGTTGACTGATGTGTCAAGTTCAACCATATTCTTACTGATTTTCTGTCTGCTGGATCTGTCCATTTCTGATACAGATGTGTTTCTATGTAGGTCTGTGGTGATGCATTCATCTATTTCTCCTTGCAGTTCTATTGCTCTTTGCCTCATGTAGTTTGACACCATAGTTAGGTACATACACATTAAGGATTGTTAGGTCCTTACAAAGGCATTCTTCATTTCTGTTATAGTGTTGTTTTCATTTTTTTTAACCTCTAGCATTTCATTGTTGAATTTCCATCTCTCTGTTTACATTTCCCATCTGTTCTTACATGTCCTCTACTATATCCATTAAAGCTGTCAGCATATCAACCATAGTTATTTTAATATCAACCATAGTTGTATAATGATTCCAACATCCCTATCATGTCTGGTCCTGATGCTTTCTCTCTGTCTCTTCAAATTGGGAGGATTTTTTTCTTTTTTTTTTTTTTTGTCTTTGGGTATGTCTTGTAAATTTTCCCTCATAGCCAGACATGATGTACCAGGTAAAAGGAACTACTATAACTCCGAAGAGGAAACCCAAAATGAGTATAATTATTCTCACTGGTAATTAGGGAAATTTAAATGTAAATCACAATGAAATACAATTTCATTTACATCACAATGATGGCAATATTAGTTATATTAAAATTGATACCCTGTGAAAAATCATTTGTCAGAAACTTCTGCTGAATTGTAGCTGATGTCAACTGAGGAAGAAGCCAGCATAATGGACCTGATCAAACACAGAGTTATTAGGATTATCCATTTACCACAAGGCTGTTTCTTGGGTACACCTTCTGGTGACCAATCTAGGAGTAGGTTATTATTTTTTTTCTTTAAACACATAAGCCAAGATAGTTTGTGATTCCCTTGATGACTCCTATCTTGAAACTATAGAAATATGGTAGTCATTAATACTAGTCAGACGAGTTTCATCATATTTGTTCTCTACATTTCACCCAGCCCATAAACATAAACCAATCAACACTGGATGTAGCACATAAACCTGGAAAACATTAATCTCTTTAAAAGATACACCAGAAGGCCCTTATTTTAATGATCACTATCATCATTTTCATCATCATCATCATCACCACCATCTTTGTCCCTGACAACACCACAACAGTCAGAGTACTATGGACAGGTAAATGGAATTTTATTTTGAAGATTAAGTCTACAAACCCTAGCAAGTTATTAGAATATTTTCTAGCTTTTTGTTAACTTCCTGCTCTCTCTAATTTAGTTTTTTTCTGGACACCGCTAAAAAACATACTACTGTTTCTGAGGTCTAAAGGCTCTGTAAAGTCAGAAAGTTTCAGGAAGTTGGAAAAAAGTAATCCAATCAGCAAATTTTGCTTACTTTTTTAAAAATAAGAACACTACAATTTTTGTTCTCTAATAATATAATTTAACTCATATTTTCTAGTAGGAAAATATTTTCTTGGAAGTAATTAAAAAATATAAAATCCATTATAGATTTTTGGAATAATGTATTTTATAACCCAGGTCCTGAATTGGCAGCTGGTAGACTGCAGAGGGTCCTCAAAACTTCATAGATTTTCTATTTTTTAAAAGACTTTATTTATTTATTCATGAGAGGCAGAGACATAGGCAGAGGGAGAAGCAGGCTCCATGCGGTGATCCCCATGTGGGATAGAACCCCGGGACTCCAGGATCATGCCCTGAGCCAAAGGCAGACGCTCAACTGCTGAGCCACCCAGGAGTCCCACTTCGTAGATTTTCAAATGAATTCCCTTTATAGGATCTCTACTTTTCCAGAATTGCAGAGGAAAGTTAGAGGTGAGGACATTCAATTCATTTGATCATCAATTTCTCTTATTCACAACTCTTTCCCTAGTAAAGTCCTCTATGAAAAAAAAAAAAGATTTATCTTCATCAAACTTGGGTAATTTTGCTTTGGAATCTTACGTTAACGCTCTTCACTGTATAAGAAAATTCAAGTGCATCTAATTCAAGTGGCCCATAAATGAAATTCTAGTAAATGAAAAACTACAGTTATTAAAATGCTTTGCAGTTTAACTGCTAATGCAATATCAGAAGGTGGTTATAAGAAATCTGATCTAGGAAATGATATCTCATATGGACTGTGGATATAAACTATAGTGAGACTAATGCTTTAAAATTGTGAATCATACAGTTACCATTATTTTTATTGACATTATTGTAATTTGATTAAGTGGAATGTCTGATTATGCCAGAATAGTGATAATCCCTTACTTAAATTCCATTCTATACAACAATGAGGAAGGTATAGTTTAATTAAGTATATGGAGTCGATTAAATTTATTGAAGATTAATTTTTAACCTTTTTTTTGTTATTGTCGTTGTTAAATTGTTCATTCTGGAATGCAGAGTTATGTCTTAAAAAATGGCCAAAATTGATTTGGTAAATGAGAAAGTAAATTGTTTCATGAATGGAACTTTTAAAATATTTAGAACATCGTTTAAATAATTTCAGCTATTAATAAAAAATAATCAATTCCTAGAGTCCATGCATCACATTTACTAGAGGAAAGGGTGAATAAAACATAAATTACTGTGATTTTGTTAGGTATAAAAGTATTTCCTTAATTATTTATGATAGGAAGAAATCCATACAGAAGGGGAAAAGAACCATCAGTGCTATAGTCAACAAAATGTATTCTTTAAGCTGTAACATAGTAATTACTTGTATAGAAACCATTTCAAAAAAAAAAAAAAAAAAGAAAAGAAAAGAAAAAAGAAACCATTTCAGACACGTTCGAGTCACTCTTCAGGCTACATAATGTTAAAGTCCCTTAAACTACTTTGCACGTCTCAGACGAAGCTACCAGCCTAAGCTACAACTGGCTAATCCAAAACAAATTTGAGACCTCAATATCACAGAAAACATTTCTAGTTATTAGAAGACATTTATTATCAGATAGTCATAAAGTTAGAAATAGCTATTAATTACCTTAATTGAATATTCCTTTTATGTTTATTCCCCGGGGACTCCAGATGCTATTCATCTAGTGTAAGAAACATAATACCTGAATAGCTTGTTTGCTCTGATGAGATTAAACAGCAGGATTCCAATATGAAAGCATACATGGAATGCACTGAAATAGGGAGTTTCTTTGAAGAGCTTTGGCAAATAATTCTGGTTCTGGGAAACACTAATTAACAAGTCATCAAAGGAGTATAAAGAAGAGGTAGGATTAAGAATAGAGAACAGAGCAGAGAGGAAATAAGACTGGGTGGAGTTGCACAGTTGTGTCATAAGGTAATATTTTTTTAAAAGAACTTATCTACCTAAAAATAAACTGGTCCTAGACGGATCAAAACATAAAGATTCTAATATTCATAGGGAATATCTAATGGGCTAAATATATCCCCTGATTACAAATTCTTCTGTTTTGTAAGTTTTGTTTAGGACAATGTGAAATACAAAAGATTGAGGATGCAGCTAAGGCTGTTCTGAAATCTGAAATCAGATTTTTATGTGTTTGTTATAGGTCTTCCTCCAAATTAGCAATTTCATGACATCATGTCTTTCAAAACATGAAGGATAACTAGTGTCCAAATTTTATATATATTAGACTGAGGGTAGCCATAAGACCTAATTGTAAACCTAGACCACTCCATTTGGATAACGCCAAGTCACCATATTTTCCGATTATTTTTCATCTAATTGATTGGTTTTGATGATGAAACTTACCTGTCTCTTAATTTATATTATACAAATAATCCATTTTATTGTAGAAACATTAGGAAATGTAGTTAAGAAAAAAGTAAACAGGGCACCTGGGTGGCTCAGTCAGTTGAGTGATTGCCTTCAGCTCAGGTCATGATCCCGGGTTCCTGGGATCAAGCCCCACATCAGGATCCCTGCTCTGGAGGGAGTCTGCTTCTCACTCTACCTCTACATCCCTCCCTCCCTCTGTCTCCCATCAATAAATAAATAAAATCTTAAAACAACAACAAAAAAAGAAAAAAAGGCAACAAGAAAAAAAAATCTACCCATAATCTCATAACATGGGATAACTGTGGTAGACATCATGATATTCCCTTCCACATTTAATTAAAATTTGTAAATGGTTAAACTACATGTTTGTTTATACATGTATATGTGTCCATGAATATGACGTGACTATAGCCACGAAATATAACCAGACTACACCTAGTGTTTTGTAACCTGCTTTAGATAAATAAAAAAAGCAAATCAATTTTTCTTCAGCAACATGAGGATAGAAACCACATAGATCTTGCTCACTGCTTTATCCCCAGAAGCTAACACAGTACTCAAATCTGATTTGTTAAATGAATGAGCATTAGGGTCTATCCTCTTTAAGATGTTAAAGGTTTCTGCATTTCATGCTAACATAGAGGCCTAATCATAATTTATAAATTACATTGCGTGAGCTGAAGGAGAGCCAGGTAAATTTAGAATATCTATCATCTGATTTGAGCCATTTTCTTCCTTTCACAGGTATGGCATATCCTCCCAGAAAAGATCTTGGCCAGTATGGATAGTGATCCTTATTTTTCTTGGAGTGACAGCAGTCTTGGAAGTAACTATTCTTGTTCATTTTCTGGCAGTTAGTCAGTATTGACTATTTTTCATTTTCACCCTTACTTCTAAATCTCCTTTTATTTTTAGAAATTGATAAGAAACAACATGAATATTAAATTTCTTCTTGGAAATTTTCTCAAATCTATTTACTATGTTATTTCAACATAATAATTCTCTATTATTGAGTACCCAGATTTACAAATGGTTTTGAATCAAATGCCTCCTTGACCCACTCCATAACTTATAATATACTACCAACTATGAGAGTATGTGCAAGACTGAAAAGTTCAATATTTTGGGGCCAAAATGCATTGTCAGTAAAGGAGCTTATGCAGTAGGTTAGTAGTTGAATTGTTATACATTTTAGTAAATATATCTAAAAATTTGGAAATCCCTACTCTTTTTAGCTCATTTCTGTTTTTTTTTTTCTGAAAGGAAATTTTATTTTATTTTCTTTTTTTAAATAATAAATTTATTTTTTATTGGTGTTCAATTTGCCAACATACAGAATAACACCCAGCGCTCATCACATTTCTGGTTATTAAGACATAATTGCTAAATAGCAATGGATAATCCATAAGTGCCTCATTTAAAAAAATTTAAATTCAATTTAATTAACATGCAGTGTATTATTAGTTTCAGAGGTAATTTAGTGATTCTTCAGTTGCATAGAACACCCAGTGCTTATTACATCAAGTGCTCTCCTTAATGCCCATCACCCAATTATTCCATCCCCCCATCTACCTCCCCGCTAGCAGCCCTCAGTTTGTTTCCTGTAGTTATGTGTAAAATCATGGTATTTGCCTTTCTCTGACTCACTTATTTTGTCTTGCATAATACCTTCTAGTTCTATCCTTGTCATTGCAAATGGTAAGATTTCATTCTTTTTGATGGCTGAGTAATACATATACCACCTCTTCTTTATCCATTCACCTGTCAATGGTATCTGGACTTTTTCCATAATTTGACTATTGTGGACATTGCTGCTATAGCAGCAATGGGGTCTAGGTGCCCCTACAATTCACTATGTTTGTATCCTTTGTATAAATATCTAATAGTGCAATTGATGGGTCATAGGCTAATTCTTTTTTTTTTTTACCTTTTTGTGGAACTTCTATACTGTCTTCCAGAGTGGCTGCACCAGTTTACATTCCCACCAACAGTGTAAGAGGGTTCCCCTTTCTCTGCAGCCTCACCAACATTCATTCATTCATTCATTCATTCAGGAAACATTCATTGTTTCCTGAGTTGTTAATTTTAATTTTAGCTCTTCTGACTGGTGTGAAGTGGTATCTCATCGTGATTTTGATTTGTATTTCTCTGATGCCCAGTGATGTTGACCATTTTTTTCATGTGTCTGTTGTCTATTTGTATGTCTTCTTTGGAGAAATATCTGTTCATGTCTTCTGCCCATTTCTTGACTGGATTCTGTGTTTTTTGGGCAATGAGTTTGATAAGCTTTTTATAGATTTTGGATGCTAGCCCTTTATCTGATGAGACAAATATCTTCTTGCAAATATCTTCTCCCATTCTGTAGGCTGCCTTTTAATTTTGTTGATTGTTTCCTTTGCTGTGCAAAAGCCTTTTTATCTTTATGAGGTCCCAATAATTCATTTGCTTTTGGTGCCCTTGCCCTTGAAGATGTGTTTAGCAAGAAGTTATTGTAGTCAACATCAAAGAAGGTGCTGCCTGTGTTTTCCTTTAGATTTTGATGGATTCCTGTCTCATATTTGGGCCTTTCATCCACACAAATGTCTCATCTAACAGATAGTAGAAGTGACTGAATGTTTATATAAATTTGATCTTTATTTTTAAAATTAACACTACATTCAGAAAGCTTGTTTTTAAATCCTTAAATTTGTGTAGCTATTTAATGTTTTCAAAGAAATTTGACACCCATTATTCCACTTGATCCTCATAATAATCTTTTGAGCTAGGGAGGGTAGAGTGTGTACATCATCTAGAAAGTGAATGGGAATGTTTGTAATGTTTCCTGTATCAGAAGTGGTTAGAAAGAGTAAATGGGTAATCACTAGGCTAAGAATTTAGATTACGTATGAAAATTAGGTTTCAAGGTAGCCCCGGTGGCCCAGCGGTTTAGCGCTGCCTTCGGCCCAGGGATCCTGGCAACCTGGCAACCTGGGATCGAGTCCCACGTAGAGCTCCCTGCATGAAGCTTGCTTCTCCCTTTGTGTCTCTGCCTCTCTCGAAAAGAAAAGAAAATTAGGTTTCATCTACAGTACACACTCAGATGGTTTGTTAGTGGTTGCCTGGATTGCTGTTTTGAGGTGAATATTGAGGGTATTCCTGGCTTCAGTGGGGCAGTGACATCTATTATCATACGAAGAAAGGATGGTGATCACTTCATCAATGCTGGGTAGTTGCCATTTCTAGAATGAGTGAATATCCACTCCCTTTCATTGCTTTCCTCTTCCCTTCTCTCTCCCTCTAATTATTTAAAAATCTGGGTCAAACGTTAATTTTGAGACCAAGATATGGAGGGACTAAAGGCTACTTGTTATTTTAAAATTCTTTGAGTATTTCTTTGTTTCGCAGGAAAGATTTTCAATTACCAAGGTGATTTTCATATTTCTGGAGTTACATACAATGATAGCTGTGAGAATGGAGCTTCACAAGTCAGCACAGATATGAGCAAAAATATAGAGACTAAGGTAAGTCCAAGGTTTCTTTTAATAATTTCATAATAAATTTGTTTGGAACAGATATGGTGGCTACTTTGTTTCTTTCTCTTGACAGATGTCTGATGCTTTTCAAAATTCTAGTATATATAAGGAATATATCAACTCTCAGGTCATCAAAATTCTGTAAGTACAAATTCAATCAGGATCTTATGGAAAGGGAGGTAGATGATATGTCACATCAGCCATAGTTTTAACAGCAATAGAAAAAATACAAAGAGGGAAGGAAAGAAGGAAAAGAAGAAAGAAAAAAAGAAAGAAAGAAGAAAGAAAGAAAGGAAAGAAAGAAAGAAAGAAAGAAAGAAAGAAAGAAAGAAGAAAAAGAAAGAATTCTCCATAAATTAAAATGCTATTGCAATTAAACTTCTGTTCAGAGTAGGAACTGTTTTGTACAGATCTGTAATCTCCATACTTGAAGGGGAATTTTAAGGTTGTTGATAGCAGTCAGCCTCAACTGACTACTATGATGAAAGATAATTGTAACTTTAGAAAACAGAACCCCACCTGATTATTTTGCTTCTCACATACTAGCCTCTCCTTCTCCCATCCACACCCATCTGGCCATACCTTTCCTAAAATAATCTTTTGGTCTCTTTAGTAATCATTATCATTATAATGACCGTGAAGCAAAGTGAATTTAAACATCATTTAAGATAACATTTGTCCAAATATGTCTTTGAAATATGCTTGAGTTTGGTGATAGTCAGGAGGGTTGCAGAGGGGAAGGGTATCTGGAGCATGGGAGATAAGTGATAAAGGGAGAGTATACTTATATTTTGGTAACGGCCAGTATCCATTTTAGGGGAATTCCGAACTTCCAAAACAAAACAAAAATATCCAGCTGGACAAAAAAACCCAACCAACTAACCTACTTACCAACTGACAAACAAAAACCTTCAAAAACCCTTCTATTGAAAATAGAGTTGTGGGTATTTTTAAAAATTGTGATTTGGTTTGAAAATCTCCCAAAATGAATTAATCTCCTTCCCTAATTGATAAAAAGGATTAATAATATAATTATAATTACATATTATTATAATAATATATTATATATATTATTAATTTATAATTAGTAAAAATATATATATAAAATGGAGAGTCTCTTTATCCTATAAAGGCATCTTTCTGAGCTTTCCCATTGCACAGATCTATTGGGGTAGAGATGTATAAGAAATTATAGGTAGAAGCTTAGTCTGACTCCTGAATATACAGTAGGTGTTCTTTTTTGAATGCTTCCTGGTCCTGAATTTATCTCTTTATCTAAAGTTATTAGAAAATATCTGTACAGGGATGCCTGGGTGGCTCAGCGGTTGAGCATCTGCCTTTGGCCCAGGGTGTGATCCTGGAGTCCTGGGATCAAGTCCCACGTCAGGCTCCCTGCATGGAGTCTGCTTCTCCCTCTGCCTGTGTCTCTGCCTCTCTCTCTCTCTCTCTGTCTCTCATGAATAAATAAAATATTAAAAAAAAGATATCTGTACAAAGACATGGTTTTTATTGTTCTAATAAAATCTTACATCAATCATTTGTTGGCCAGTACTCAGTTTCTCACATACTGGAAATATTCTGATTTCTAGTTTGTAGTTCACATCTTCTCACATGACCAATACCTCTGAACCAGTTAGAAGATTTTTAGAGACACTTGCAGTTTATACACACTGAGACAATATCTGTGTATTTTTCTTTAATATATCTAATGGAAATAATATAATTGAAATATAGGAAATTCAATGTGTTCACAAAACATCTACAAAAATAAAAAAAGAGCACACTAGAGCATTTCAGTTGTTTCTAGTCCTGATCGCAATGGCTCAAATGTACAGTTGCAGCTGACATTCAAATTTCCTCCAGCAAAGAGGAATAGCATGAAGACTGAAATTGAAGCTACCTCATATCACATATTGAAAGACAACGTGGCATCCTGGCATGCAGTCCCTAATTCCATTAGACTCATAGGTACTTCACTTTTTTCCTTTATTTTCTATTACTTAGGCTTCTGGACTTTTTGAAAGAAAGTACTAGGGAAAAAAATTAACCAAGAGTTTCAGGAATTTGCTTTGGGAAAAAAAATATACTTCTCAAATTCTGGTATGCCTACCAGTGAGTTGGCATATAAGGGGCAGTGGCATAAAATCTTTGACAAGTGATAGGAAGGAAGGCTAAATGTGGGCTTGCATGTAAGCTTGGAAGGCTTCACATTTATGTATGAAAAAGGGGGTCAAGGATCCTAATTGAAGTATTATTCCTCCTTTCCCTCTACTCTTGTCAGGGTTTCATTATAGGAAACAGACTGTGCTTACTTGATCATTCAGTGTGGAGATTGCTAGGTAAGAAGGGAGTTGGGGATACGGAATTCTCACTGCTTCTTGTGGAAGAATGGGAATGATACTAACAAAGAAAAAAATTGTCTGGAATAATGTTCTAGAAAACAAAGGAAGAAAATGATAGGATCTTGCCTCAGTACAGAAAGTGAAGTCTGTAAAGATCTTGAAGATCTTGCAAAGGTCTTGAAACTCTCACTTGGATTGTTAAAAGACCTGTTAGGTGATAAGCATGTAGTTCAGAGCCTAGTTTTGTGGTTCTCTCAGATTGGCAGTTGTTGGCCTTGGTAGCCTTCAAGGACACTAGGATCAACTGCTACCAAGGCCAACAACTGCCAGTTATAACTCCTTTGCCTCAGAATACCTGTCACCAGTTGACCACTCATGAGAAGTGAGTTTGAGATAGAACTTCTCAAAAGAACGCTACAATTGCTCTGTGGGTAGCAATTGGTAAAGAAGGCTGCCCTTCTATGTCTTAGGGGTTTAGAGTCAGCACTTGGTGGGTCTTCTTGTAGTTCCTTACTCTTTCTCTTTAAAATCTCTTCCCAGGGGCACCTGGGTGGCTCAGTTGGTTAAACATCTGACTCTTGGTTTCTGCTCAGGACATGGTCTCAGGGTCATGAGATCGATCCCTGCAATGAGCTCTACACTCATCCAGGAGTCTGCTTCAGACTCTCTCTCCACCATCTGCCCCTCCCCCCTACTTACACTGTTTCTCCCTCTCTAATAAATGGGTGAATCTTTTGGAAAAAAAAAAAGTCTCTTCCCAATAGAAAAGAGACTTGAATTTAAGTTAAATTCTTAAAATTTCATAAATCAGCCATAGTTATGAGATGACTCTAAAGAGAAGGATAGGCCCAATGAAATGAAAATTTAATTGGAATTTTTTCCTTTGTAGATAACAGTATTTCAGAGAGGTGAGAATTATCATAAGGAAAGATATCCAAAGATAATTAATTCCATGCCCTTCTTTTAGTGAGAATATAAACTTCTCACCTTAGTAAATATTTTACTGCCACTATTACAAAGTTGAGAGCTTTGTTTTTTTATTTCCTTTTCTTTTTTCCTATACTACCTGGTAGACATGTGGAGAGATGGTTAAAATATAACAAGTAGGAGAGAGAGGGGCTGGTAACTTATATGTGAACTAGTCTGAATAGTTAAATATTGAGTGTAATTGGGCTAGGAAAGTTAGCATGTATGTTCTTGGATTGAAGATAATTGCTTAATGATATTTTATTTTTTTATGTTTTTTTTTAATTTCAGAAATTAACAAAGCTAATGTTGAAATACTTACCAACAACTGTAAGTTTAGAAACTATGATAAATTTAACACATTCACAAATATTTCTCTATCATTATTCTAAAAAGTGTCTTGAAATATATTGTTTGGAAATCCATTAAATAGTCTGCCAAAATTATTGTATAAACCAGATATATATGGAATTTCATTTTGAAAAACACTGACCTATGAATTTTAACATTTGTAAGGAGTTGTCCAAAAGAATGAAATGAGAACTGATTTCAAAGAATGGAATCATGAGTGAAAACTATCATATCTGAGTAAGTTAAAATAAAAAAGATTGAAGGTATAAAAAGACAACTTAAGATAATAAGAAAATATAAAAGTAGGCTATATCAAATACATTTATTATAAGATAAAAAAATAGTTCTGTGTCTTTTAAATGAATTCTTTTTAGGGCATCATATTGCCCACAAGATACATCTATGCATTCATTTATTCAATGGATTATTTATGGCATATCTATTATCTACATGGAACTTTACAGACAGCATTTCATATGCTGTGTAAGATGCCGACATTATGAAGTAAAGTCTCCACCTTCCAGAAATTTGCAATCTACTTGGAGAGATGATAATTGTAACAAATAGATAAAATAAATTTTGTCAAAAGGTGATTGAGAGTGAAAAAGAGGATAAGTAAAAGTTACCAAACCAAGACAAAGTTGGGTACCATGATCACGGGATAGTCCAGAGAAAGCACAACAAGCTTAGTAGATGCTGGACAATCATTCAAGGGTTTCAAGTAATGTTTTAAGATGTGTTTCTTGTAAAGCACAATCAAAGATAGCTGCTCTTATGTAAATAAATCCTTTCTTCAGGTTGTGGAAGACCAACCAACAGTATCACAGCAGACAACTGAATTGTGAATGGGAAGAATGCTCTGGTGGGGGCATGGCCATGGCAAAGCAGCATGCAATGGAAAGGTCAACACAATTGTGTGGCATCTCTTATCAGCAGCTGGTGGCTATTATTGGCAGTTCACTGCTTTGCTGAGTGAGTGTGAAAGTCTGGCTAAATGTAGATTCAGGTACCGGCCTATTTTTTTGGTTATTTGTGGGGATTGACCTAAATGACCTAAATATGTGAACATTCACCAAGGCCAAATGAAATTTATAATTACCTGCATAACTGAACAGAGGCATTTAAATTTGTCGAAAAAGAAGGGCACCTCGGTGGCACAGTTGGTTGAGTATCCAACTCTTGGTTTCATCTCAGGTCGTGATCTCAGGGTGAAATGGGGCCTTGCATCAGGCTCCATGCTCAGCATGGAGTCCGCTTAAATTTGTCTCTCCCCCTCCCTTTGTCTTCCCCCCATGCTTGCACAAGTTCACTCTCTTTCTCTCCCTCTCTAAAATAAGTAAATAAATCTTTAAAAAATTGTCAAAGAGGAAAAGTGAGTAGAAGTAATTCACATTTTCCAAATAGCTACTTTGGCCTGACGTTAAATGCTTTATTTACATCATTTTATTTAATCATAACAATAAATATGCATGGAAGGTATAATTTAAAGATGGAGAAACTAGGGATCCCTGGGTGGCGCAGCGGTTTGGCGCCTGCCTTTGGCTCAGGGCGCGATCCTGGAGACCCAGGATCGAATCCCATATCGGGTTCCCGGTGCATGGAGCCTGCTTCTCCCTCTGCCTATGTCTCTGCCTCTCTCTCTCTCTCTCTCTGTGACTATCATAAATAAATAAATTTAAAAAAAATAAATAAAGATGGAGAAACTAGAGTTCAGAAATGGTGCTGTAACTTGGCAAAGGTGATACAGCTACTAAAGAAGAGAAGTTGAATGTGACCCCAGGTATGGCTGACTCCAGTTACTGTGTGTTTATTTGTCTTGCCCTCTAGGAGTTTACTACCTGACCAAAGATATTTGAATGAGATATACTGGAGGTACTCGTCAGCAGAGAGTAGTAATATACCACATATACAATAACACAGTAAATTCTGTGAAAATTTGATGAGGAAGGAGAACATAGCCAGCTGACAGATGAAGATGGTAATATATGACCCAGACCCTAAAGATTAAAGATTTGATTGATAGATGGGAAAGAACAATATGCATTTTGGATTTGGAAGACCACCTTCTTCAGATGTCTTAGGTGGAACAACAAAAGTTGTGTTCTCTAGACAGTAAACAAAAAGAGCAATTTGAAGTAGAGAATATTTGTTAAAAGAAACATTAGAAAATGCATTCCAGGGATCCCTGGGTGGCTCTACGGTTTGACGCCTGCCTTTGGCCCAGGGCGTGGTCCTGGAGTCCCGGAATTGAGTCCCGCATTGGGTTCCTGGCATGGAGCCTACTTCTCCCTCTGCCTGAGTCTCTGCCTCTCTCTCTCTCTATGTCTATCATGAATAAATAAATAAAATCTTGAAAAAAAAAAAAAGAAAATACACTCCAAAAATTTGTTGTGTTGCCTGGGCACATTTCTAGTTGACAAGATGCTTACTTCCTGAGGAAGTCTTTCTTACAAAGCATGGTTGCAGGATTTGTTTCTGAAGCAATTTTCAAAAAGTATTCCATAGATAGGGGACCACCAGAGGACTCGTTAGAAGTGTGGATCCTTAAGCATTCCAGGGCTTTTAAATATAAATCTTAGGATGTGGAGCCTGAATTGATTCTAAGGCAGTAGAGTTTAAGAAACACATTGAGTGTATGGAGTCACTGAAGGTTTTAGAATGTGAGAAGGATTGAAGAATGTTGCCATTACATGAAGGTCTTGAAAAATAAAAACAAAACAAAAACAAAAATAGCACCTGACATTTTGAGGGAAGGTGAGATAAATTAATGGGATCTTAAGTCCTAAATTGAGAAAGAGTTTCAGTGGGGAGCTAGAGAAATGATCAGAAAATTTAAATTAGAAACCAAGATGCCACGGACTTGGTAAACATAATAAGGTGATTGAGTAAGAACAAGTTGCAATTTTTTTATGTACAAAGATGCCCAGAGCCTGCCACAGGCTCTTGGAATCCGGGGTATTTGGCAATAAGAGTGATTATGGGCCCCATCCACTGAGGCAGCTCATACGACTCCTACTCAAGTCAGAAACGGGTGAGGCTTTAGTAAGTAGAAAACATCAATGGCTCTAGTTAGGAGGATTTGCAGAAATCTGACAGCTCTAATAGTCCTTAGCACTATTTTATTTGCCACATCTCTGAGTCAAAGACATCTTTAAAAATAAAAATTTAGCGTTTTCTAGTGTTGGTGGTGAGCCTACTTCATGCCTTATAGTTATGAGATAATGACACTGTGAATGCTGTTGTCACTCAAAAACTGCATGTATTGTAATCAAATTTTGTCTTCCAGGAAAAATAATTCAGACGATCGGACTGTCAGTTTTGGAACTGTAGTAAATAAAGCATATATAACACAGAAAGTCCAAAACATTATTTTTCATGAAAATTATAGCACAGCTGGGGTTTATAATGATATTGCCCTCATGCAGCTTGCTGAAGAAGTCTTTTTCACAAAGTACATTTGTAGGATTTGTCTTCCTGAAGCCAAAATGAAGCTCTCAGAAAATGCCAGTGTTGTAGTTATAGGATGGGGAACACTTTATGTGAACGGTAAGTTTTTCTGTAAAAAGGTAATAGCTTCGTGGGACTAATTATTCGACCAATCAATCACTCTCTGATGCAATTTATCACTCAGTAAATAGTCCAAAAAGAAAACCAAGTGGTGGAACCAAATTGTCTTCAATTCTAAAATACCTCTGGGGATAAAAATTGGAAAAATTGGAGTTATGTGTGAGGCAGCCAGCTGTAATAAACACCAGAAAGGGACCAATCTATGTTGAGACTGGCCTGACTCTTGCTGACCAAAAGAATCTACTTTATTCTATAGATGTTCTTTGTCTCAACAATCAAGGATTAAGATCCCCATAATACGCAGAATATATTGCCTTTAGGTCCCCTTCCAGTGATACTTCAACAAGCCTCTGTGAAGATTATTGACAACAAAGTTTGCAATGCTCCACATGCATTATCTGGCTCCATGACTGACAAAATGCTATGTGCTGGATTTATGTCAGGAAAAGCTAATGCATGTCAGGTATGTCTAGACATATTATCAAATCATTTTCTCCCAAAGTACTAATTAAATGGAAGTTTTTATAAACAAAATGTTCTGTGTGCAGTAATGATTTCCATAGGGTAGCTTATTTTGATCCACATAATGGATGTTTATTAATCCCAGTTATGTATCAGACACCAGCCTAGATGCTGGGAGGCACTGGTGAACAAAATCCCTCCTCTCATGGAGTTTTCAGTCTAGGAATCCACACCAAGGATAATACTGACTCGGTAATAAAATAAATTTGGCCTTATTTTCTAGGCAATCAGCAGAATAGAATGCTGTGTCTTTCTTATCAGGAGATATGGTAGGAGATCTAGCATGTGCACATGTCAACCATTCCTCAGGCTTCATTATGCAACAGCAAATCATTTTCTTCATAGTCAAGGCTAAACTCATTGGAAGGTCTGCCCAATCTAGCATATGGCGGCTGTAGGCGACATATTCTGGTTTGGAGTTGCCGTGGGTTTTGAATAAACCCAAGTTCCATAGTTTTTTTTTTTTTTTTTTTTTTTTTTTTTTTTTTTTTAGTATTTATTTGAAAGAAAGAGACAGAGCATGGGCAGGGGGAGGAGGCAGAGGGAGAGGGAGAAGCAGACTCTCCACTGAGCAGGGAGCCTAACCTGGGGCTTGATCCCAGTAACATTTATTTTATAAATGGAAGTTTTTACCTCTCAATCCTCTTCAACTAGTTTGCTCGTCCCCCTATCCTCCACCCCTCTGGCAGCCACCAGTTTGTTTTCTGTGTTTATGAGTCTGTTTCTGTTTTATGTTTGTTTGTTTTGTTTTTTAGATTCCGCATAAGTGAAATTCAGATTTGCAGTTTATAGTGATTAATTAAAGGATTCCAGAAAAGACAATTATATATTATTATATAATATGTTGTGTTTTCTACAATTATTATATTTAATTATGAAAAAAACACCTCATCATGTTTTCTTATGTTGTTTCCTCAAAATATTTGTCTTCATTTAAAATTTGTCATAGTTGATACTCATGGTTCTGTAAAGAAACTTTATTTTCTCTAAATAGAGGAGTATGTACCATGTGAAAATTCAATTAAATAATCATCCCTGATTTTATAAACCTATGTTTATGCTTTTTAAGTCGCACTTATCTCTGAAAAAGTCATTCAGCAGGGCAGGAATTACTAGCCAGAGTAATGAGAGATTGTCCCCACATTTTTCTCCCAAGTCATTTGATGAAAGAGAATTAGGAGGAATCAAAGCAGCCACAATCAGAGCAGGGACAATGTCTTAGTCATCAGGGAGAATTAGTATAAGAGCACTTCTCTCTACTGCTTACCATTCTACTCCACCCTGTTTTATTCTCAACACCCTTAGAGAATAAAACCTACACTCTATTATGATCTGCAAATCCATTAAAAGCGTGATTCACTCTTCCCATTCCTTAGTCAAGACACAGCTCAGGAGTTACCTTCCACCAGGAAGCTTTTCCTGATATCCCTGGGGCTGGTGCTCCAGATTGCCCCAGGCATACACCTGGTTGTTACACTTTCCACAAATTGTAAAACTTCTGTTTATGCATCTGAATATCCTACTAGACCCATGAGTTACTCAAGGGCTCGTTCCCATCTCTGTGTTCCTAGACCTGGGGCTGGTTCAGTGGAGGTAATCATCCTGTCCAAAGGAACGACGCCTGATGCTAGAGACGCCTCTGTTTTATTTCCCATTGTGCCCTTACATTTCACCTGTTCTTCAATCACATTGTTAATGGAGATTTCTGAAACATGCTATCCTGGACCTTTCCAGATGTTGTACTCCTTGCCTGGAATGTCTTTTTCTGACAAATCCCCCTGCCCGGTAAACTCCTTCCATTCTTTAAAAAGTAGCTCACACATTTGTGAGATTTTTATCCCCTGTGTTCTCATGGATTTGAAGCTTATTGCCATCAAGCTATCATCTCATCCTGGAAAGTCCTACAAAGCCAACAAATACAATTTATTTTTAGTCAATATTAACTTGGCCCTGACTCCCTGAGAAGTTGTATTCTATTGCCGGTTCCAACTTTTTCTTCTACTCAAATCATATCGAGTATAGACTTTTATTTCGTTTCAACAATATTTGAAAAATAATTTTGGTTATATAAGCAATGTATTAACATAATATCCTTGTGAAAAAAATAAACCCATTATAGATCAAGATAAAATTTCTTTAATCACTATTTTCAGTTCTGCCTGATCTCTATCCTTCTATTGGGCATAATCATTGATTTGTGAATTTTTCCAGATCTTTTCACATATTTGTTTAACATTTCATAAATAAACGCTTGCATTTAAGTACATATATTAGCATCCACTTAAAATGTGAAGTATTATTTACTGTTTCTTTTAGGTATTTATGGTATCATGTTGAATTATCATTCTGAATTTCATATTTTCACTCAATATTTCTTGAAGTCTTTTTATATTGATCTACAATTATATCAGTCAGGCTCAGGGCAGGAAAGACTTGCTAAACAGAAAGAAATTTGAAGCAGAAAATCACAAACTTCAAAAGTTGTGAGAACAGCTGGGGTTAAAGGCTCCAGGCTAAGCCTCAAGGATAAATTTAATGAATAGCAGAGAACTGATGCCAGGGGAAGGGACTGTAACTGGCATCTCTCAATTTAATAGCTAAGATCCAAAGATCAGAAAGTACCAACAAATTTTTGTATTGTTGATGGTATCCTTTACTGTGCAAAAGCTTTTTATTTGTTGTGGTCTCAGTTTAATTTTTCTTTTGTGTTCCTTGCCTGAAGAGATATATCTAGAAAAATATTTCTGTGGCTCATGTCAAAAAAATTATGTCTGTTTTCTGCTAGGAGTTTACGGTTTCAGGTCACACATTTAGGGTTATAATCCATTTTGAGTTTATTTTTATTTATGGTGTAGGAAAGTGATCCAGTTTCATTCTTTTGCATGTAGCTGTCCAATTTTCCCAGCACCATTTGTTGAAGAGACCATCTTTTCCCCATTGTATATTTTTGCTTCCTTTGTTGTGGATTAATTGACCGTATAATCATGGTTTTATTTCTGGGCTCTCTATTCTGTTCTATTGATCTATGTGTCTACTTTTGTGCCAGTACCATATTGTCTTGATTGTCACAGCTTTGTAGTGTATCTTGAAATCTGTGATTGTGATACCTCCAACCTCATTCTTTTTTCTCAAGATTGCTTGGCTATTCAGGGTCTTCTGCACCACAAAGGAAACCCTTAACAAAACAAAAAGGCAACCTATGCAATGGGAGAAGATTTGCAAATGATATATCTTGTAAGGGTAATATCCAAAATATATAAAGAACTTCTACAACTTAATACCAAAACAAACAAAAAACAAGCTCAAAAGATCCAGTTTAAAAATGAGCAGAGAACCTGAATAGACATTTTTCCAAGAAAGACAGATGGCCAACAGACACGTTAAAGTATGCTTAGCTTACTAGTCATCATAGAGATCTAAATCAAAACCACAATGAAATATTAACTTACATCTGTCAGAGTGGCTAGAATAAAAAACATAAGAAATGACAAGTCTTAGTGAGTATGTGGAGAAAAAAGAACTCTAATGCTCTGCAGGTGGGAATGCAAATTGGTGTAACTATTGTGAAAAATAGTATGGAAGTTCCTAAAAAAAATTAAAAATTGAGTTATCTTTATCATAGGATCTAGTAATACCACTAGTGGGTATTTACCCAAAGAATACAAAAACACGAATTCAAAAAGATATATGAACCTCTATGTTTATTGAAGCATAATTTACAATAACCAAGATACGGAAGCAACCTAGTGTCCATTCATAGATGAATCATAAAGAAGATATGATAAGAAAGATATAATGGAATATTACTCAGCCACAAAAACAATGAGATCCTGCCATTTGCAACAACATGGATAGTGCTAGTGAAATAAGTCCGTCAGTGAAAGACAAATATCATACAATTTCACTCATATGTGGAATTTAAGAAACAAAATGAACAAAAGACAAAAAAAAAAAAAAAGACTCAAATACAGAGAACAACCTGGTGGTTGTAGGAGGGAAGGCAGGTGGGGGAAGGGGTGAACTAGATAAAGGGAATTAAGAGTATACTTATCTTGATGAATACTGAGTAATGTGCAGAATTGTTGAATCACTATATTTATACCGGAAATATGACATTGTATATTAATTATACTTCAGTTTAAAAAGAAAAAAAAAAGTCAAGATAGAGGTTAATGTTGGAGGAAAGTGGGAAGTTAAGACCGTGATAGAGTACTGGGGGAGCTTTTGGAATGGCAGACAAAATTCTGTTTTCTTAATAAAGATGGTGAATACATGGATGTTTGCCTTATACCAACTCAGTAAACTCATTAAGTAATAAAGAAAAAAAAGAAGGAACGAAAGAGGGAAGGAAGGAAGGGAGGAGAAAAAAAGAAAGAAAGAAGAAAGAGAGAGAATGGAAGAAAAAGAAAAGAAAGGAAAAGAGAAAGAAAAGAAGAAAGAAAAGGAAATAAGGAAGGAAGTATGGAAGGAAGAAAGGAAGGAAGGAAAGAAAGAAAAGAAAGCACCAGCACTGCTGACATTACCACTGCAGCCTCCTGACAGCCACAAGCTGGTCTGGTCTCTGACTACTCTAAATTGTTTCTTTGGTCCCAGAAAGCTGAAGAATGGATAGTGAAACATCCATGAACTTTTACCAGAATAAATCCACAAGTGGTCTCATTTCTATCTCAGAAGGCATCTGACATGCTTCTCACTTCTGTTTCACGTGAGTGCATCTAGCTGGCAGAACCTAAACTGCAGCCAGCATTCTAACTGCAAAGGAGTCTGGGAGATGTCATTTTCAGCTTTCCAATCTCTGCAGTAGAAAAAGGGACTTTAGAATGAAGCATGAGTAAGTCAATCCACCATATTTACTATAACTTCATTTCTTTTAACACCTGAATAACATTCCAGAATAACAATATGCCATAGTTTATTAAACCATTCCTCTACCACCTAATAATTTATTTCCATTTTTTTTGCTATTGCAAACTTTGTAATAAGCATCCTCATATAATCCTGTCTGATTACCTATGCCAGGATAGAAATCTAGGTGGATACCTAGAAGTGAAACTGTTGGTTACAGGGAACTTAGGTATAGAATTAAACAGATGCTCCCTCTAAACTTGCTGCCTCGATTCTAACTCCTACCGTCAACATATGGGAGCCCATTTCCCCACATTCTTCAAATCCTACCATCCACAGGACATACTTAAATATAAATCAATACAGCATAGCAGATGATTAAATCTAAAATTACTAATTTTATAATTTATAAAAGTACAGTAAATATTAGCAACCAGAGAAAAGATATCAAAAAGAATGCTTTATAGGGAAAGCTTCATGAAGGAAGTGGCAGTTAAGTTGGACCATGAAGCATGAATAAATATTGAATGGGTAGAAATGACAATCCTGAGAGTATTAAACAGCATGGATAAAACCATGGATATAGGAAAGCACTTGCCATTCAAGGAACGAAACTGTGAGAAATGGCTTAACTAAAGTCATACTTTATTTATTTATTTATTTATTTATTTATTTATTTATTTATTTAAAGTCATACTTTAGACGAAGTCATCATTAAGATAATACAGTGTCAAGTACTTGGTAAACATGGTCTCAGCTGATACAACCACCTTCCAAGCATGACATTGTTAGATTGCATTTTTACATATAAGAAAGCTGAGGCTCAAACAGATTACAATACGCCCTTTGTTTCGCCAAACTGCCATGGAACAACATAAATAAAAAGAGATGATGCTCTAAAGAGTCTTGAATATCAACCAGAGAA